AAACTGATCTGTAGGTGTGGGTTCACAGCATTTTATCAGAAGCAAATGAAGTTCAGTGCGGCGTACTTCAAGGCTCGGAGCATGCCTGTTTCTGGATTTCATAAATGATCCTACCGGGGTGCTCTCTACAAATTTTCTACTCTGCGCCGATGATCTCGAGATATGGGTAAATATCACTACGATGGAGGATCACACAGCCCTGCAAAGTCGTTTGGGTGCAGCATACACATGATCCACTGAGGATATGCTCCAGTTCAACACGCCAGTAGAGCCCTAATGACCACCGGTTAGAGTCATATGTTTTCTCACATGGGCGATCATCGCAGGCTAGCGCAAGTTGGCATTGGCTGTTTGAGGCAAACCGAAAAGATGACAAAGAAAGCAATTCAGTACTGTGACCTCAGGCGGGGGGCGTTCGAAAAGTTCAACGCCTCAACCTATCCGCAAAGTTTTGGCGCGTATGTGACGCCTTACGTAAAATACGCCAGCCAAGAGTGACAAAGCTGGCAAAAATGCTACCTCACTGCGCTCGAAACTAGACGACATATGGCGGCAAGGAACTCGGGCTGAAAACGCCAGCAGTGTACAGCGGGAGTTATCGGCATCTACAGGACCATTTCACAATTGTGTATTAGATCCAGAAAAATTCGAACGGCACTTGCCACCACCTTATGAAACTCAGCCAAAAGACTTATCTGTGGGTCCTTTGTTCAAACTGATTACACAGTACAGCTAACAGGAATATCGACGAATTGTTTTCACATTCCGAGTTTCAGTCATGGAACTCCAATCCCCAGCGCGAGTGGTTGATGCCACACGTTAGCAACACTCAAAAGACGACTTGATGATCCAATGACACGATTGCATTGTGTGACATAGCCCGTGAGCAACAACTGACGGAAATAGCACAGAGCAAACGGTGGTGTATGTGAGATTCCCCTTAAACTCCACCAAACGTGAATGCTCACATCTGTGCCACTACAAACATAATGAGTCATACGAACTAGGTGTTCTTTTATCGACACTGTGTAGATATCTTGAGATTTTCAGCCCAACCATCCTACCAGACTTACCAAGGATTTGATTTTTACCCGTTTTACACTATTGCTCCATTGTTTCAATTAGTTTGCTGCCAATTATTGAATTCCCTTATCATTCTAGGCGTCCATTCGACTACATAAATGATAATGCCAGTTAACCAAACCACCTTACTTCTAACTCACATACAGCTTTGTCAGCACATACCTTTCGGGGCAGCGCGTCATGCAACACGTGACTAGTGAACGCGACTTAGGTTTAATCGTGCAAGAGAGTTTTGGCAATTCGCTCCAATGTTCGAAAGCAGCAAGTGTGGGGAACTTGAACTTGAGACTTTTGAGGCGAGCTCTCGGCACTTTTGAGCGGCGGCTAGTACCATTGTTGATTAACTCCTACATTCGTCCTCATGTTGAATATGCAATTCAGGCCTAGTGTCCATGGTTAAAACGAGACATCCGCCTCTTGGAACAGCCCCAAAGAAGAGCCACAAAGGCAACGCGTGGACTATCCGGTATAAGTTACGAAATGCGTCTTCGTGTACTCGGTGTGTTCTCATTAGAATACCGACGGCTTCGCGGAGATCTTAATCTCACATACCGGATACTAACCGAAAGCGAGCATTCATGTACATCACTGTTGACTCTAGCCCCTTACAAACAAAACCGAGGCAACCACCTGAAACTAATGACGCAACACTCTCGTTTGAATTGTAGAAAGTATTTTTTCTCACTTAGAATCTGTTCTCACTGGAATGCATTACCAAACTATGTGATGAAGGCATCAGACATGGCGACATTCGAAAGACTTTTAGATTTTCATCTTAGTGATAAACGATACACAACACTTTGCTAAAGTGCAATGATTTAACCACTGATACTTTACGTTCCACGTTGGAACAATTTGATTTTAATTTTCTTTTGCATATCCATTCTGTGGGTCTTGTAAAGTTATGCATTTTATCCCATCATACACCATTGAACCATTGAACCATTGGAACCTATTCTGGCAGATATCATTATCGCTGAAATGGAGCATAGTTCACTAAGACCACTCATCAGTGGAGTCGAGATGTATGTACATTACATGCATGACAACCTTACACTGCAAATCGAAAGCACACGCTGTCAAGCTGTCGAAAGCTTTTAATGACGCTCATCAGAATCTAAAATGCACCTGCGAACACAGCTCCGAAAACCGGCTAACATTTCTGCACGTTGTTATTATAAGAAACACCCATAGATCGTGGAACAGCAAGCTGTTTAGCAAACACAATTGACTGGACAGTGCATCAACTTATATATTGCGGTACTGTTACGGAGGTCCACGACCGATGCGTCATGCCCCACTCACTAAGTACACGCGTCCAATCACATGACTCTAGCCCCTTACAAACAAAACCGAGGCAACCACCTGAAACTAATGACGCAACACTCTCGTTTGAATTGTAGAAAGTATTTTTTCTCACTTAGAATCTGTTCTCACTGGAATGCATTACCAAACTATGTGGTGAACGCACCAGACATGACGACATTCGAAAGACTCTTAGATTTCCATCTTAGTGATAAACGATACACAACACTTTGTTAAAGTGTAATGATTTAACCACTGATACTTTAGGTTCCAAGTTGGCACAATTTGATTTTAATTTTCTTTTGCGTATCCATCCTGTGGGTCTTGTAAACTTATGCTTTTTATCCCATCATGCATCATTGAACCCTTGAAGTCTAATGTTTGCGTTAGGAGGCAAATATTGTAATTATTCTACCCTATTTCATTGTCCAGTCCGTTGTGGCCAGTTGAAGTATGGTCTGATACAAGTGCCAGTTTAACTGCAATCCCGGAACCCGGCATGATCAGAAAGACCTAGACTTGGGGTTCAACCTTGTGTACGCAAAAGTGTTGAATGTACAGGGTTTTTAGGCACCGAATCATGGTTCTAGTGGGATCCATGTAGGTGATCCAAGAGAAGCACAATTAGGCGAATTGGCGCAGGGTGCAAGCAGAGAGTGGCCTTCGGATTCAAACAGTCGATCGGTATATTATGAAAAAAATTGCTATCGCAACTCCTCAATGCTCGAACACGAATTTGCTGGATACTATTATGGATGGCAAATCGACTGATGATGGTAGATTACTCATCCAAGCTCTTTCAGTGTTGTCGATCTGACCCTAAGCCACAACCAATGCAGTGTTTGTTCGCACTACAGCACTGCACTGAATTGTCCCACAACTCAACTGGACCTCGAATTTGGCTGTCAGGATAATGAATATGATGAATTCCAACAACACGAATGCGTATGGCGTCACTGACGATTTGTACCGCCCAGCTAGACTACAAACACGCTCACTGTGGATGTCACCTCGAGTGGTGACGAAACGTTGGCAGCCAAAATACCGAGCTCAGCAAACACCCATACAAACAAAAAATAACATCAGTTACCAATATTTGCTTCCATCTCGCAGCCACAAATAACCACCGATAAGGATGGATTCACAGAAAACAAAGACATTTGTTCATCAACGGCAAATGTTGTAACTCTTCTCGTTGCAACAAGTAGACTGTACTATAGATGTGGAAATCTGAGTTTACTGCGCTCAGTGCCCCTTATTCAGTTGCAGCGTTGTGGTATGTGGTAGAGGCCACTTTCAGATTTTTGGAAATAATAACTCATGGTTAATCCCATGCTCAACTAAGGCGAGCGCTATTCGCGATTTATCCTTGAACCCGGTCAAAATGGCACATCCCTCTGTCGTTGCGGTAGTCGCTGAAGCTGGCGCCGTCCATGTCACTCGCCTTGGTCCCAATTCACTCTACCTTTGACGAGTATCTCATCCAGAAATGGTGTAACTGCCCAGTGTCCAGCCTGCAGTATCTGTGCCCCGGGTTCCGATTCTCGCTTCTACATTAGTTTGGGCGCCCCAGTGGTATTCCATCCAGCCCACAGCTGCACGGCATTGAACCAGTGATGCGGCGTACCTATGAAGAGCTGAGACCTTCAGTTTGCTTCATATGTGAACTATGACGTAACCGCCAAGACGGGAGGAAAGATCGATAATAAAGGTACTCATTTGATCTGCTTACAGTTATCCTTTATTTATTCCCCTACTTCAATGGCTCTTAGTTTTCGCTCTTTGGCCACATCTGGTAGGTGTCTGGACTACGTGTTCTGCAATTTGTGTTGGGTTACGGGCTATTTTTAACTGTATCTCATGGCAGTTTTTTAAGGAACAGCAAATATTTTACTTTCTACTAACCGATCAATCTTCACCTGGATAGGTACTAACAGTACCGCTATTACTGGCGATGTTCACAGTTATACCTTCCTTCAAGAAAATAACTGAATAACCATGGACCTGGTGTTTGTAAGTTTCAAGGGAAGGGACCACGTAGAGTACCTCAATCGGACATTATATAAAAACTTGTTGTTCTTATAACAATAACACCAGCCGCCATCACTTCTTGTGGAGAAGAAAAGCACTTATGTTCACACTTGATTTTCTATACCACCAGGGCTATCATGCCCCAGCTAACCACGCTGCTAGGGGTAAGTTGCTTAGTGTCTCAACCAGGTGACTTGTTATTGCTGCATGCACCATCAACCGTAGTCGAAAGCTTCGGGTCAATAGCTTGCAAATAGCGTTATCGAAATTTCTAGGGCATTGTTGTTTATTCTAAGTTCTCGAGGACGAAGTGACTACTCTTGGTTTACGCAGGACTAGTCGGGACGGATGTACTTATAATTTGATTAATCGCCTGAACATCGGCAGCATTTCGACTGCCTTAACTCTATGACAGTAACGAAGCCACCGGACATGAGACGGGGAAGAAAAAGAATTTCTGCTTAAAATAGACGTCAGTATTACTTTGATGCGTTATTACTAGCTTGGCACTTCTGCAAAATGATGCTCTCGTTTCCATCACATTATCATGATTCTTCACGAACGAGTGAAAAAAGCATGCTTCAGTGGGGTCGCATTATCCGTATACGCGCTTTTGCCTCCCAGGTCAACATAACTAAAGCCTTTTTGTGGTAAGACATAGCTACTCGGACCACAGGACCGGGCTCAGTCTCATGACAGAGGCAGACAGTGGGTTGGATTAAATCCCAGTAATAAACTCCACAGTCCTGGCTTCCAGCGATTATTAAGCGCCCCGAAGGCGACACAGCAATATCACAAATTCCAACCGCTTCTGCTATCCTACTGCCTAAATGAGACAAGGCTGCGTCTGATTCGGATTCCATGAGTGGGCTCTTTGTTAACGAACGCCGATCTAGGTACCTACTGACAACCACATCTGTGCGTATGTCGTACAGATGAATGGCAGCATCATCTGACCCGGTGACAAAGTTGATTTCATTAGGCAGGGTTCGTATGCAGTTGACATTTGACTGGTGGGCCTCATATTGAGCAACCGGGTTGCGAGGATGACGTGGGTCCCACTGACGGATCACACCGTCATTAGCCCCAGTAACACATGAACCCATTTCGGTCGATGTACCTATAAGGGATACGCACTCTAATTTGGTTGCGTGGGTGAAACGAGCAAGCACGTTACCACTTTCAACATCCCATAAGATGGCGCCGTCCTTTGCAGATCCTGTCAAAAGTTGGGACTCACCGACGCGAACGATTGAATTCACTTGACTGGAGTGTTCAAATACCACACAATTCTCATAGAATGAATATCCATCTTCCTCTGACCTGTGTGTGCTGTTAAAGAGCACAACGTTTGCGCAAAGGCCGCCACAAAATATCTTGCTTGCATCTCCGGATGCCGCGACGGTGATTGGCTGAACTGCGCTGGCCTCAAGAACGTTGTGGATTAACCCACTGCTAGCGTCCCAGACGATGACCAATCCTTCAGCACCCACTGTTAGCACAAAGCGATCACTGGGGGACCAGACAACATCATGTACTTTTGAGGGATGTGCACGAAGTTGATATATCAACGCAAGAGTGGGGATTTGACGGCAAACGCGTAAGTTGGATTCATGGGCCAATTGAACCAAATCAGCATCCCTCGCTTTTTCGCGTAGGGAACTTAGTCGCTGTTTCAAGGACATGATTTCTGACAATAGCTCCATTTCAGCTGCGGCTGCCCTCATGGAGTATAAATGAAGCCACTTTCGGAACTGTTGTTGCTCTCACCGTTACAATTAAAAAAGCCAGTTCACGATCCGCGCAACTGCAGTCACACGCTCACGGTCGAATTTGTGTTCACGTGACTTCGGACACACCGAAAGCCTTGTGAAGCAAGCAGATAGCTAATGTCCATTGCCCAGGGTCACGTGTCACGCAGCCGTCGTTGACACCTGAGAGGTGTTAACATGCAACAGATGTGACCAAGTGGGGGGATGGCTGTCGTCATCATTATTACACCTGGATGTGGAACACGCCGCAGCTATTGTGCCCCAATGTAATTCAATTATATAGTGGTAAAACTTAGAGAACAAAACAGACAGAATGGATGAATTGATAGACACTGAAAGAAAAGGAGGCTGCTATTTGCAAGCATTTCATATCGTCTCCTCAGTAATATTGGTAACAAAATAAGCGTATATGTACCTGACGAATAATTGTTCCTGAGCCCACGGCGCTGGCTTCGTCCACTTTATTGCAAGTTGGCCACATAAAGAAAACAAGGCCCAGAGTGATGCGACAAAAAGTGAACGCGGAACTCTGTTTTACCCAGTGAGCAGAGACCAGCAGGTGTTATGTCAACGCAGAGAAAAGACGTAATTTGTGAAATGTTGACAGTTCCATTGTTCTTATCAGTTGCAACATGATAAGTGCATGGGCAACACGTGTAGTTAAATATGTAGGGGCCATAATTTCACAAATAAACTACAGTGGTGACTGGGGAATATTACACAATCAGAACCAATGTATTCCTAGCAATCACACCAGCTTTTTTGCGTACACAACACTGAACGATTAGCCCTTATTAACAACGCCTCACTGACAGTCAACTGTTTCCGATTTCCGCGATGTAACAACGGGTTGAAACAATTGTTTTGTCCGACTAGGTGACGCGTCGCCATAAGGTGCTTGGTTCTCTTCATCTCTTCTGTAATCACTTCATCTTGTCACCCTACCACCCGCCCCAACACTGCAAAGCGCTCAACCTTCATTTTAGCCAACCGTCAATCAATTCTGCTTATGTGGGTGTCACCACAACTGCAGATTGGATTGGTGGAAAACAGGAGAAGCCGAACTGTCTGGCCAGTTACTCTGACGGTTCTGGGGAACAGTCCTTCATGTGGTGTTGACGACTCGTTGTTGAGTTGTCGTGTATGCGCGCGAAAGGGCAGCCCTGATTTTGTTCCCAATATCGTTCTCAACATTGACTCTTTTGAAAAGTAGGAAGAACAAAACATTCTTTATCCTCATCGTTGGGAGTAGTAGCCTCTCCTTATTGGGTCTGCTGTGGATTTGAATAAATTTCTCAAGGTGCCCATTGGACAGTGGCCTCTTGTGTAGAAACTTTTCTTCAGCTTTTGATAGTTCTGGGTTGTAAATTATCCTAACCCAGTAGAACAGTGTCTTCACTAGACCACGATGGTACGCAACTGAAGCGAAAATTGAAAAATAAAGGAATTGGCCTCCGCAGGTTGATTATCATGCACGGTGCGCTCAAATGTGACATCAAAGCGCCTTTTCGTAAGCATATCCAAAAAAGATAGGCTGTCTTGCTGTTCCGCATTGTGTGATAAGCAGAGATTAGAGTGAACGGGACTCCGCATGTTGATCAGACGATCAAAATGTTTCTTCTTATTGGTGGTTAGAATGTCACCTTCACAGCGTTGGTACAGCTTTGCCTCATCGATGGTCGCGCCAACTTTCTATTCAAATGTGTCAAGGAAGATATTCGCCAAAACTGGACTCAGAGGGCTACCCATGGCGACACCGCCAATGTGCAAGTACCTCGTCCTTACAGATACAAAACGTGTTATTTTTCGGGAATCGTCAGCAGTGCGCATTACCTAGGACGATGGTAGGGCTCGAACCCGCAACTCGACTGTTGCCAGTCCGTGGTTGAGACCACTGAGCTACGGGTACGGCAAGGACCATCGTGGATAAGCTACTGGACTTGATATGACGCCGCTCACTATCCACTGACTCAAATAACTACCGGCCAATTGCCTGCAGCACAGTAAACGTAAAAGGTCTTCGAGAAGTGTATGCTTAAAAGATGCTGACTCATATTAATTCAGACTATTCGCTCTATTTTGCTTATCGTAGTTTGAGATCGACTCAAGATGTATTAGCCTCAGTGGCGTAGTAACTACCTTTTCCGTCCGGGGCGGACGTGAAATTGCCGCCCCTGGAAGTTTTACATCCGTAAACCTCCACAATCGCTAATTACCATACAATATCACGTGTTATACGACTACAATCAAACATCTAAGTTTAGTGAGCTGCCATACATGCAGATATTTGCATTGTTACAATACTCGTGTACAAAATTTACCGATGCACTCTTTGTGAAGTACTTGAGGCAATAGTATTAATAACACCAACAAACTTCAGTCTATTAGCGAGTTCCCCTTGTATTTTGAGAACTGCCAAGCCCTGAGCCGTATCTGACTCATTGATGATCGAAGCTCGTTTGTCAGAAGTTTGCGTTTTGAAAATGCGCTCTCATAGCTGGCAGTCCTAATAGTTCGAGCAAGAAAGATGCGCAGCGGATTTCCCAAGGTGACATTATTGTATGAAGCTCAAATTTCAGTAGGTCCATTACTTTTGTCGTTCCTGAAGCTTTCAAAAAATACTGCGGTCTTCTTTCGGCCAGGACTTTCTTTATCCTTTATCTTCATCATCTTTGCTAAGCGACTTTAGGAAAGTACATTTGTTTGCGAGGTCATGAATTTGCAAAACCCTTCGGCATTTCATTAGTTAAACTGTCTATGAAAGACAACATTTCCCGTTTAATTCCGTATAAAATCACATAGATATATCAAGCGATTCTTCTCTGTCCATTCGTTTCGTTTGGCTAATTCGATGCTTCATTCTTATTTCCAATTCGACGTAGTGCTTTTTGTAGTCATCTATTGTACTAGCTACCATTTTCTCTATATTCTGAAGAAGGTAAACTTAACATTATAAGCTTGACAGAATTTTGCTGCAGATCTAGCCCTTTAAAATGCATAACTGTGCATCCTTGATTCTATGAGAACAGATCACCAAAGGCTCGGAAACAAAATATACGGAAACGATAATACCGAGGTGAGAAGCAAAGATGCATCTGATCTTGTGGCTACATCATTTCCTTATTCCTTGGAATGTTTCAGAGAAGTTTTGAGCCCCAGATATTGCTTCCTCACAAAATTTACAGCGTCTTTGCAACTACTCCATCTAGGTTTTACAGCTACTTAATACTTGGACCGGTGAAGTGAAGCAAGACATTCCAGCAATGTTTAGATGAAAAAGAAATGAGGATATCCGGTCTATCACACCAAAAGTATAACAGAATGAACCGACACAGAACTGCATGAACACAAGCCAGATTCATGAAATATTTTTTGCACGGCACAAATGTAACTTTGGGTTGATTTCGCAGATGTCTCTGCACCCCCGATTGGCAGCCCGCCATGATAGTAGCATTTTCAAATGCCTGGCCATGGCAGTCATTAACCAGAATTTAGTCCTTCACCGATTCTCTCAAAACCCCTTCCAGCAATTTTCCATGCACCTTTACTGTTGCTCTCAGTGAAGCTGAGAATCGACTCCCCTATCCTCACGTTATTTTTGCTTATCTTATTTTCGTGGGATACATCGAGAGCGCTATCAAAATGTAAGCAAATATACGTGTTTTCCTCGTCCTGATCTACGATATTCTTTCTCACCTGATTTACCAAAATGCTTGCTAATTCATTTTGAAGGTGTGGCGACAAAGAAAAAGTGCAACATTTCCTTCCCGGCTGAAGTGTCACTAAATGGTTGCGAGGAAGAGGTTCATACTTGGCCAACAAATGTATAAATACTAAAAAATCCTCTCTATTTTCTAGCTCTCCTTTCCCATCCTGGATGTCTTCTCGGTGCCCACACAGCATCATGCTTTGCTTGGCGAGAAACCTGACGATATCAAGCATCCTGACTCGAATTTCAGGCTATCTATTTTATCAATTACCTTTCCTTCAACTAACCGGATCGGTAGCTCCTGCGGGTTGAGGAGTTATTGAGCAAGCGATATACTAGATTCGCATTTATGTGAGTTTAGCTTTAGCTCCCACCAGTTTTTGAAACTCTCAGCAGTTGATATATATATATATATATATATATATATACATATATACATATATATATATATATATGCAGTCGAAATCATCCTGCAGTCGAAAGAAAACAGGGCTGTTTTGAAGGAGAATACACCATCCGTGTCCGCCATCTCTGCTTGCCATTTCGCGAAACCCGAAAAAGACAATTCGTTGCTAGCTTCTTAGCCACAGCTTTATATTTGTTCCAGGCAGAAAAGCTTATTTAATTCAAGCTCGACGAGCTGCACAACAGTAGATCCGAGCCGGACTACCACAACGAGATTTTCATAGCAAATCATAACAGGCAACTGACAGACATCCGTAAAATTGGTTTATGTGCGTGTCATCATGCCAAAATGTGGTTACCCTTTCAATTCCGCAACTTCACGCGCATCTTTGGATTAACACTACAAACATTTCCCGCTCCATCCGTGCTGTAAATGTCGCTTGCTGCTGCGCGGATAGTAACGTTTGAAGTAGCAATTTCATCTTCAGTCTCAGCATCATTGTCTCCTTCATTTTTGCCACTTCGGTCATGGAGGTAATTTCGATGCATTTACGCTTCGTACTGCTTAATTAGCCGTGCTAAAATTGTCGCCGGGGCGGACGCCCCCCTCCCCGCCCTTTATGCTACACCTCTGATTTGCCTCTCTTGTACATTCAGTGCCGGCGTTACTAGCCTACAAGTTCAACTCCGTGCGGGTATATTTTCTGGACTGTATTAATGCTTTCTGCACTGTAAACCGTCAGCTTCTTGTAGAGAACTACGTGATGTCGGAATACATCTTTCTACTGTCCACCTGCTGAAGGACTATTTCACTGAACGCACATAGTTTGCTTGACTTAGT